AAAAAAGTACTCGACTACAACATTGCCACGAACTGCAGTGTTTTTGAAAGGAAACCAAATTTGTGAACAGGAATGCGGTCGAATTACACGGCCACTCTTAGTGTATGTGTTACCCCAGTATATTTTGGATGATATTAGCCCCTAAAACTGTTAACTCCGCTTGTCTTTCACAAGCGAGCAACCGACTTGAATAATTTCCAAACAATGCAGCACAGGATAGATTCTTTTTGTTGAGGGGGCTCTTAGAATCCTATAAGGATTGCCCACTGTTGAGTCATCACCGGTTAGAGATGTACTGAACAGCGATTTAAAACTTAAACAACGTGGGCATATTCCAGAAATTAAGTTTCAGTTTGTTAGGAATGGTTCAAATGTTTGCCACAGCCCCAGGAACCCTCTTAAGTTGATTGCTGAAGATATCAGAATATGTTAAAGTACATACATGTACATGTATTAAAAGCTGAGCCTTAATAGAGATTTCAGTTGTTTGCATTCTTCATGCATTTTGACTTTAATGTGTCCTTTTTTGTGTGTTTTTTCCTCCGGGATATCAAAGTAAACTGGGCTAATACACCAAGTGCAAAAAAAGATACCAGTGATAAGTATGTGCTTCCTTGACTGGGGATTTGCAACTATGTCAATTGTGAAGATTCCAGCTGCACATTTTCAATAAGGGCCAACATTTGGGCTAAATTCATATTTCTGCAAACACTTAATGTGCTAGTTGCTCAGGATTGAAGTAAAAACGAAAACTGTGAAACATTCGCCACTTTGTAACGACAGTGGCTTACGGCTTGAACCTGCACGTTACATGTGTTGTAGAGTTGCACACTTGATGGTATATCTCTTGGTGCAATTTTTTGTTTCGGTCATGAGGCAGGATGTTTCTGTCATTTCGTTTTTTTTTCCAGTTTTTACTTGCTTTCTGACTACACTTTTCTTCTCGCATGTTACTGTACATGTGCTTGAAGTTACATGTACTTGAAGTTATCTCCGTATAAAACTCACACAACCAATCCATTGTCTCACAAACCTGCCTTTTGTACATATGCATGTGTTTTAAATACCCTAAAAAGTTGCTAGTAGTTTTGTGTACTGGAAACTATTACTTTTCTCAGAATGTAAACTCATACTGCAACTGGAGAGGGATGGATACGATGTTATTAGACTTAGTGTTACAGTGACATCTGTCGCTAAATTTAGCTTTGCGTCAGCATTCAGCATTTAGGAACATGTATACATGTATATGCCTGCCAGTATTTCGATGAATATGAAGACCCAGCTGCTTGTTTTCTTACTGCTGGTTTGGTCTGGTCAACGGCCTCTTAACATTGTTGTCACTGTTTGAAGAAGTGAGTACTAGAAGTGAGACATGCTACCATGGACCACAATTCTGGGTCAAGTACTAATACATTGTAAATGGTGTAGGTAGGCCCTACATGTACATGTAGGATGTAATGAATTACGTATTTTCCAAACATTGCTTATCAGTACTACACAAGCTCACATTGCCAGGAACTACAAAGTACAAATCTCTTTATTGCTTGAATGCATGAATACATGTATAAGTACACTGTACATCTGATTCAAAGTGACTGAAGCCTTTTTGAGCTGGACAGATGAAGTTACCCCCCCCCCAAGCCGCAAACAAACAGTGTAAAGTAGTCATTTTCAATATGTGCATATTTCTCGTCACGCAAATAAGATCATTCTCAGGATCCCATTTGGATCTTTTTCTCCGTCCTTCTGTAACAAGGCGCACTGTATGTATATCAACGAGCTCCCAGAATGCATGGAGCACGACTTCCCTGATTCTGGGTCACCTGAAGCTTATGTTTGCCATGACTGAAAGTTAGCCCCAGAAACTATAACCATCTGTATCCGCTGAATATGTGTGATCTGCCGGGTTTCTCTAGCAACCGTCTTCTTGGCGACAGACATTTCCTGTTCATAGGGTAGGCTGTATGTGTAATGTAGAAGATTTAAGGCTGTATTTTTGCAGGTTCTACATTTGTATGCAGACATGTTTGTGGTTTCTACAGTTAGATTTTATTTTGTAGGATGTCGTAATTTCTGGGTTCAAAACAAATTGTCTGTTATGGATGCTCAAAGTTAAAGGAAATAAACACTCCCATCTCTCTTGTTGATTATCTGCTACCTTCTGTAGTATAGACAGCAGGTTGAATCTCCTGTAAAAGTGTACATTCCATATAGTAAAGTGCTTTATGTGCGCGTTTTCGAAACGAGTGGAGTCGGTTAGACTTCAGTTTCGCTGGTTCCAGTCAGAACTGCCAAGCGCTGTATTTTCGATGTGCGTGTACGCAGCTCGCCGAAGGCTCGTACGCCGAATAGTTGCGCGCGGACACTGTACGAACCGCACGGGAAAACGGCTGAAAAGAGTCCACATCAATGGCAAAAATTAACATTACGTCCGACTATATTTTTCCTTTTTTGTCTTTGGTGGTGATGTGTTGAATTTCTTAACCCACCAGCTGTGGGGATAAGGACGCATAGGAGTTACAGACGTGAAATTGGCTCCTCCGAAAAGGTAGAAGTGTTGAAAATTTTAGTGATAAAAATTTTCGCCCGATTTTGCACCATTTATATCCTGGACTCCCTCCGTAACGTAATACGGTCAAGGTATTCCACCTGGGCTAATGTACATCAAGCACCAAGTATCATTCTTGGTATATGATATATGTACCGGCCTCGTTTATCCAATTATCAGACAGTACAATCAACATACAGTAGGCCGTGGTGCGGGTATAGTGCCATCCAATGGCCGCTCTGCCTCATCGATTCCACAGTACCAAGAATAATCAAAGGACGAATGGGAAACCAATTCTGTAGGTTTTTATTGCCAACTGGGGATTTAGCAAAATGACCTGCATACTGTAGCTGGATGGCATTGTACAGTTACAGACGTGGCTTTGTGTAAAGCATGCCGCTGAAGAAAAAATACATGCATTAAAAATTCCTACTAGACTCACTCACCAAAGGTAAAAAATACTTCCCAAATCTCCTCAACAAGAGTTGAAATAATCACAAGTGGCTGCTTCATACTTTATGAAACTTACCCAAATTATAAAATGAAAATCAAGCAATCAAATAAGAATTTTCTACAGCTCAGGTGAATTTAGAAATGCATAAGGATAGCTACTTTTTAAGCAACAAATTTATTAATAATTGACAGTTTTCCTTAATTCTAAGGCCTGTGTTCCAAATAGTGGTACTGAGCACAACGTGGTTCGCAGCCACGACTGCCCTTGATGTGGCGTACGTTGGTGACAGTTGGCCCAGTTAGGCCTACTGCACGCAAGCTAAGTCTACTATAGCCAGACCGCAAAGCTAAAATTCATGATTTGTACAAATCCTGGCCATTTTTTTTTAGTATGTACTATGTGTTGACAGGTGGACTTAAAATAGACGGACAAAAGGTGTCCACAAAATTCGATATAGTTAAGGGACTCCAGGCAGTTCCGTGTCGAGGAGAGAGGGTATTAAATCCAGCAAGGCTTTGGTACATTTCTGTTGCTAGCACTTTACTCATATCTGTTAATTGGCCCATTTTAAAAGTTATACCCAACACTTTTTTAAGAGATACAGAACTTTTCGAAACGCGCTGGCACCGATAAGTATTTTTTTTAATAAACTAGAGTGATATTAGAGTCAATAAAGGCGATTATCAATCATGATCTCTTGGGCCTGAATTTAAAATCGAAAAATTACCTATTTTGAGATTATTGAGTATTTTGAAATTGCACATTGTTGGGGATTCATCACCCGATAACCAGACAGAGCTCCAGCATTACCATAAACGTCAACCTCCCAAGCTAATGAATTTTAATCCCACTGACAAAACTGTCCGGCGACATTTCTTCACCGGTGAAAACACTGACAAGAATATCGGAAGGCACTTATGACTACAGGGGACTCCAATCAACTACATAGTACACATGAATTAGAGTTTCCAGCTGTTGGACGTAGGCCTAAAATAGTAGGGTTAAAATATTTATAATTACATTGAATTTTGCCTGGTATCATTTAAACTGTGAAGAATGAAACAATTAAGTTAACTACTGCAATAAAGTAAAGACTGCAATTTTGGATTTTAACATTAAAAAAAAAGGGTCATGCAGCAAGTCATATTATCTCATGTGCTTAAACAGCACAGACATTCTGTGGCCGATATGTCTAACAAAACAAATACCATCAACGTAGTGCCTTTACTTTTTCTTCCACCGGTATGGACCTTTAGAAAATATTCCACCATGTTCCAATGTTGCCCAAATGGGTTTTTAGGTTTATACCGTACATGTATATCAATTTACCCCTCAAGCATAACATTCTAATCGTGCTTTGTAAATAAACGTCTTTTTATGAGAACATGAAATAACAAACGCGAATAATCTCAAATGTAGGAGACTTTATCTTTGGAATGAAATCTACCTTGGGATGTTGTGTTAAGTAATTCATGGTTTTATGACTTCAGGCCTCGCACAGAGACAGAGGACTATATTCCAACACCTGTTTAAATTCTGTATTTTATAAATAAACACATGCTGTTGCATTATTTCAGCATATCATGGATAGTGTCAGGGTATTGCCACAGCCTGCGTAGCGTACTGATGTAGCAGGTAAGTCTACGTGCGCTGGAATGTGAAATGGACATCTGTAAGTCACTAAGTTCGATCAGTGGTACAGGACTTACCCTTTGACTTTTTGGCTCTCAGTCATTCAGATACAGCTGAGTTGAGCCCGGTACACAGACTAAAAATCATTTTACTGTAAGTCTAAATATCTATTTATGCAAAAGGAGCGATACCTTATGATGGTGCATTGTTTTGTCATACCGAGGAACCGCGCAACATAAAGCATGTGGAGAATGAACTGTTTGGCTTGCAGGCTTTTAATCTGGCAAAACAGAGTATCTTGGAAATATCAGGATGTTTGCTGATGGGAGCTTAAGCAAGCATTTAGATTAATTAAAAAGGATGTAAGATACAGGAAAGCTTTTCTTTCAAATAAAATTCCGAAGTTGATGGGGAGGGGGTTCACAATTCCGTACAACAATTGGGTTATATATGTCGCAGGGGTTGCCTGAGAATTAATGGTACCACAGACGCTTTGTTTTGTAAAAGAAAACCTTGGGATTTAGGCCTACCCCAAAATGTTCGGGATAGTAATTGCTCAGTGAACTCAGAAACGAAACACCGTAGGAGATTCTAACCTTGTAAAAAAAAGAGCGTCCCAAATTACCTAAACTGTATGGTTAAATAGTCGAAAAATCGAGTAACATTTTTCTGCCTTGTCGCTTAAATGCGCGGGCTCTGGACCCGTTTTATAGGGCCCAGGGAAATGTTGGATTCCAGATGCTCTGTGGTGCGATCCAAGGCAATTACTGATCACTTGCATCATTCTTTACGCAAACGCTTTTGCAATTTTTATTTCATTTCAAACTGATCTTTATCAAATTCAGAACACGTATATCCATATAATTTTATTGGGCGTTCGGAAGGGAGGGGGGCTCACAATTTACAAACGATATGACTCCCCTCCTCCCACCCACTTTAAAAGTGCGCCAATTGACGGCCATGTAAATTTCTGGCGAGCATGACCCATCTTCGACTCCATGGGCTGCGTGCGCGTTCCTCAGATCGCGCAAGGCATGGTGGGAACCAACTTGGCGCAGCAAGATCGTTGCCATGGGAACGAGGTTGAGCATGATCTTAATGCCTGTACGCGGTAATTTCGTCCATTCCACAGTTCATTCACTTTCACTGTGTACATAACTTGAATTTTCAGTTCTGATTGGTCCATCCATGGTAACAAACAGTGTGATACATGACCGTATTGCACGGTTCATCAAACCCTGCGTGATGCGTTGTTCTAACTCAACGCATAGTGCTATATTTACGCTAAAAGCAAACGCACATCTGCACGACTGTCAAAAGTGGCGTGTATAAGTTGCCCATGCTGACTGTAACGTGTTCAAATGTACATACAATTCTGACAATTTGTTTCTTAGTATAGTGTAAGCCCTGTCATTATTGTTGTTACTGAAATAAGTTAAAAAAAACAAATATTTCCCATGCCCCCTAGACAAAATTGCACAATTGTGGTATCGGTGTTACTGTTTCGGCTGTACGCGGTATGATATCTTTTCTCTTCTTTTTTATGAGAAGCGTGCATAGGCCCCTTTACTGCGCGTCAAGTTTGCTTGAAGATAAATTGGTTATCACGCGTGTGCGTCCCGCATAGGGTACCGAAGTGAATACGCCACGTGCACAATTATTAGTGTGTAAAAGGCATTAGCGCGAGAACCAGCGCGTGAACCAACACGCGCGCGTACTCCATTCGTTTGCACTGCACTTTCCGGTTCACAATGACGTCACACTTCGGTACTCCACTCGACCTTCGGCCTCGTAGCGTACGGGACACACACGCACATTATTCCGTGTTCTACTCGCACTCACGTGATGACTAATTATATTCACTGTTTCAGAGTTCCAATTATCCGGTAATAAGCGAAAATGGTATATTTAGCGTGGTACCTGCACTGACATTTCCGACAAAGGGATTACCATTTGGCTGTGGAAAATATGATGCAGTATAATTTTATTCTTCGGAATTAAAGTACAGATAAAAACTAAACCCCGTTGCATCAATTAAATTACATTTATTGTTTTATTATTTTTCTTTTTTGTACATCTAAGCTTATGAGACATGTACCAGTTTACTTTGTTTATACATCAAAAGCTTACACGATGTGTACCAATTTGCAGCTGTTACAGACATTTAAGTGGCAATTAACGAAGAAAACCCTTCGCCTTTACATTATAGTGTAACATGCATTTGGAATGTTGCACAAAAGACGGGAATGTTTCTGACTTTCTGTCGTATTCGTACTTAATGCAGTGAGCGTCAGTTAAAATGAATGTGTCCTGCAAGTGAAGATGTAACAGAAACAATGAAGTGATAAAAACATCTTACTGTCGTTATAAAACCACTGAAGGACTACCAGGGCTTAATAAAAATGGCACCCATATTAAAATGGGAGCCACGGCATACAAGAAACTGGTAGCGTTTCCTTTCTTGAATTCCTCGTTTTGTATAACGGTTATTCGGTGAGCTGAAAGTTCATTTTATTTGACTGTTGAGCTGAAAGTTCATTTTATTTGACTGTATAGGTCTGGCAACTTTATGACGTCGCCCGGATCATTCAATAAGTTGAACTGATTTAAACAAGATTTGCATAGCAAATTAGACAGCTGGGTAACACTGCTAGGCGGAAAAACTCCAAGAACCCATTAATCGGCAGGTTTTTTTCACGGTAAGCAGGCTTATGAGCAAATAGTTACGTGGCTGCTCTGACCAGCACTCCGGTGCTAACAGGGTGACTGCTACAAAAATAGGGCCAGCTGTCAAATTTTCAGATCATTCAATGACCATTTTTCTTTGATTTTTCTACAGCAAAATAATGTTTTGAGTTAATTCCCACGTGGATTGTCCTTTTTTTCACTCGTTTAATACTGATACCAATAAACGCTGGCAAAACCAGTAGATCTAATGAGGATTCAGCTACACACACCGACAGATATACCCAGCAACAAATGAGACCGAGGGGTACCGCCTCCAACATGTCCAATCCCTATACACATTCCAGACTATTGTTACTTAACACATCCCCCCCAACATGTCTGAAAGGAATTCCCCAGATTCCTGCGAGACAATGACCAACACAAAGCAGGGGGGTTCTCTCCGTCTCATACCTTGCTGCATATGCCGACAGAACCCTCTGACTGTACTCTGCGAACAAACACCGTATCTACCAGCAATTAAAAAGAGTGACTTTTACGCAATACCAATCATATAATCAAACATTACTTTTACATCCTGCTAATGAAAACCATGAATACCGTTTAAACGGGTCCAAAAATATAAGAATTCCAGTTCCTAAACACCGAATGCGTTTAATATATCAATCCAAAATACATTTGGTTACATTCGCGAGTTCGCCAGCACTTGATATTATTTGGAAAACAACTTCATCCAGTGATCAGCATAGACTACGGGCAAAAATTTTTAATCTTTTTCAACGTGACAGCTAAATAAAGTGACATTTCTAAGAGTGCAGAGCCCGAATAAAATTATTGGCCTTCATCATACAACAAAATTACTAACATATATTTCTGAATTCTATTTTTGACACAAGTTGATTAATATTTTCCCTTTAAAACTCTGAACATTTATTTCATATGTACAGTTCTGAAAACAGCTGGTCGCCATCACACAAACTAGGCCGGCTGCGTTTTTTTCCCGTTAAGTTATTACAGGTACTCACTGTAAAAACGCTGGGCAGTTTTTGCCCAATGTCGGGTTACTACCAGGCGAATCACCCGACTGTTGGGCAAACTGTCGGGTGATTTATTGCCAAACTTGTCTCTTGACCCAACGGTTGCTCCTTTCGCCCAACAGTTAAGCGATTTACCTGGTACCAAACGTTGGGCAAAAATTGTCCAGCCTTTTTACAGCGCACAACTACAGATTTCTGGAAGTGCCATCTGATTTGTTGAGATCCTGACTTTTTTTCTCCGGATGATGACATAATACAGGCAAGATGTCGACAACCCCATGTAATTCATCACAGGATGAAGACATCCTAAACGTTGGGTGTCAACATCCTGAGATAAAATCTAAAATCAGGATCTAGACACGTAGAATGGCACTTCTAGAGCTCAGTGCACTAAAATGTATTGCACAATTACGATGTCGTCATCCCCTTGATAAATTATCTCAGGAAGTCTAAATCTTGTGTGTACGATGTCGTCATTCTAACATCCCGAGAAAAACTGTCAGGATCTCAACAAGTCAGATGGCACTTCCTGAGCCCCGTACATAGCTTTTATTCAAGTCGAGTTTCCTGAACTTGTGGGAAAAAAATAAATAAAAAAAATGCAGGCAGGCTGAAAAATTTGCTCGGAAGACAAAGCAACAAAATGAGCCATTTCAATGAGTGTGCTCAGTATTCCAACAGCTTATAGACCTACTCAAAATGAAGCGTGTCCGAGTGTGCCACGCTGATAGGGCACAGCTCCAATGCGCACTGCTGTTCCCGAATACCTCTGACGTGCTTCCGTTTGGGCATGCGCCGTTACAAGACCGAGCTGGCTCACTAAAAGCAACAGAGCAACTCCGACCGTAAGTATCATTCAATGCTTCTTCATTCAAGTGAGAAAAATGGTCATTTTACTAAGAGTACTGCAAGGCGATTTAAAGGGCAGAAATACAAAAGGTCAGACATGCTTCAACGATATTGACACATGGAGATTTTCTTAATTTCCCTCAGGGCCAAACTGTTCAGGCAAAACAATGGATTTGCAGATAAACTGATAACCAACATTGCTATTTCTTTGAAACTGAATTTTTCAAAAGGTTCATTGTGGGAAGGGAGCAAAACAATATCGCATTAATGCTGGACTCGCCCTAAGGCAGGCTGCTGGGCCAATGTCTCACTGAAAAACACTGCATCAAAAATTCTTCGACATCAAAGTCCGAGAAGGAGAAGAAAAGGGAGATTTGGAAAAGGTTTAAGGGGCATTGTTTTTATTTTGTTCTGATTGGACCAACTTCAACGATTTCTTGACGTAGATTAAACGAGGTAACGATTCTTTATGGCAAGGGGGTGATTTCTCTGAAGAAAACAGAAGTGGGGTTGTGATAGTGAGATGATGAGATTAGGCCAAACAAGTTCTTCTTCGATTTGGTTACCAAACAAACCCTATTTTCACGGCGCGACCCTGAATTTTTCACCCCGTTGTCTTTTTGTCTCAACGAAATGTTTCTCCTAGCTCAACAAACCCTTTTACGTCAAAAACACCGTTTATATTGTTTGCCAACTTGCATTCGCTAATTTTGGGAAGAAACCTCCGTTGTGTTAATAAATGAGTTCCCTTGGCGGCTCGCCACGAAGTGCTTCACCGAGCAATACTTTACTAGTTTCCGCCGCACACCCAGATTGCCAAAGGCGGCACGATGGAAACGCGTCAACCAGTCTGTGCATACAGCGTTATACGCCGCACTGCTGTTCGAAAAACGTCGATGGATTAAGATTTCTGCAAGCTCACTAACAGAACTTGATCTATCTTTTCTGCATATTTTCTGTGTGTCATTCCAGGCTGCACCGCAGGTGCTTGAAGCGAGCATGCCACTACAAGTTTCCCGTCGCGGCGCGAGGTTTATCGCCCGCCCCCAACGATGCATCAAGCACGCTTTTTACACCACGCGATACATGTACTGACTTTGTTGGCCAAAGTCATGCATGACTAGCGTAGCGCATAATGAGTGGCGTGCATTTCCTGAATGTGGCATTGGTTTTTAATCATCACCCACCATAAACATTTATTACATTTAAGCCAGGTTATTATCATGCACTTTGTGCATTTTTAAATGGCTTTTGTATCGCAAATACACAAAGTCCTCTTGGTTTTTCAACGTTTCCAGGATGACCAAAACTAACAGGGAATGGCAGGCAACGTGAAGGAATATGACACTACGGTGGGGGCTAGGTATAGAAGTGAGTTATTTCTGCTAAAAAAAAGCCAGGGTTGGTCTGCATTTAAACTTATGAGGTGCATCGCCGAGGGTTGGCGTCTCAAGACAGATGGGAGAACATACCATAATAACCCGTGAAGCATGCTAACTTTGGATGAGGCACCATTACAGGCATGGACTAATATAAACGTGACCAGCTCCACTAAAATGGGTATTAGGGGGCATTTTTTTTTCAAACTGAGTTACAGACACATTTGAATCGGTCACATTATAAGCTATAATTTGGAGTAGGTTTGAACCCTGTGGCATTTTGTAATCTGGAGATACAGTGATTTGTGCATAATCATATCATACACGTTAACAGAATTGATTCCAGAGATTAAAGCTCTTTAAACACAGGAAGCGGAAAAAGAAATCAGCCAAGAAGGAAGTCTCTTAATACCCACAGCAACAGTTAGGTTTCTGGTATCGTGAAAGTATTGACATGATAGATACCAATGAACCAAGAAGTAAAAATCACCCTGTCCACTTACGAAAGCCCAAGGTGTGAAAAAGCACAGTGTCCCTTAATACCCTTTTTCGCAGAGTGGGTCACAAATATGCACAGAGCCACCCCGATAGGTCTATTCCATACAGCCGGTCCTTTGCTATAGCATTCAAAGACAGAATAAGAGTGCACAGCCCGAATAAAATTATTGGCCTTCGTCATACAACAAAATTACTAACATATATTTCTGAATTCTATTTTGACACAAGTTGATTAATATTTTCCCTTTATAACTCTGAATATTTATTTCATATGTACAGTTCTGAATGCAGCTGGTCGCCATCACACAAACTACGCCGGCTGCGTTTTTTCCCCCTGAAGTTATTACAGGTACTCACTGTAAAAACGCTGGGCAGTTTTTGCCCAATGTCGGGTACCAGGTGAATCGCCTGACTGTCCGGCAAACAGATTACCCAACCGCGTTCATTCTCTCCTGATTTATTGGCAAACTTGTCTCTTGACCCAACGGTTGCTCCTTTCGCCCAACAGTTAAGCGATTTACCTGGTACCAAACGTTGGGCAAAATTTTTCCAGCGTTTTTACAGCGCACAACTACGGGGTTCTGGAAGTGCCATCTGATTTGTTGAGATCTTGACACTTTTCTCCGGATGATGACATAATACTGGCAAGATGTCGACATCCCAATGTAATTCATCACAGGATGAAGACATCGTTAAAGTTGGGCGTCGACAGCCTGAGGTAAAATATGTCAGGATCTAGACACGTAAAATGGCACTTTTAGAGCTCAGTGCACTAAAATGTATTGCACAATTACGATGTCGTCATCCCCTTGATAAATTATCCCAGGAAGTCGACATCTTGTGTACGATGTCGTCATTCTAACAACCCGAGAAAAACTGTCAGGATCTCAACAATTCAGGTGGCACTTCCTGAGCCCCGTACATAGCCTTTATTCAAGTTGAGTTTTCCTGAACTTGTGAAAAAAAAACTAAATAAAAAAATTGCAGGCTGGCTGACAAAGCTGCTCCGAAGACAAATCAGCAAAATGAGCCAGTTCAATGAGTGTGCTCGGTATTCCAACAGCTTATAGACCTACTCAAAATGAAGCGCGTCCGAGTGTGCCATGCTGATAGGGCACAGCTCTAATGCGCACTGCTGTTCCCGAATACCTCTGACGCGCTTCCGTTTGGGCATGCGCCGTTACATGACCGAGCTGGCTCACTAAAAGCAACAGAGCAACTCCGACCGTAAGTATCATTCAATGCTTCTCCATTCAAGTGAGAAAAAACGGTCATTTTACCAAGAATACTGCAAGGCGATTTAAAGGGCAGAAATACAAATGATCAGACATGCTTCAACGATACTGATACATGGAGATTTTCTTAACTTCCCTCAGGGCCAAACTGTTCAGGCAACAAAACAAACAACAAATTTACTTTAATAAGCAGGGTATGTACAATGGATTTGCAGATAAACTGATAACCAACATTGTTATTTCTTTGAAACTGAATTTTTCAAAAGGTTCACTGTGGGAAGGGAGCAAAACAAAATCGCATTAATGCTGGACTCGCCCTAAATTACGAACTCAGACACCATACCACACTGAAGAACAAAAACACCAGTCACTGAACTAAACGCAAACAACAATTTATATGTGCATTGAATAATACTAATTTAGAGTGTATTTAAAAACAACTATGCGTTAAGTAAAATGGGAATGTATATTGAATGGTAAAAAGTGAAACTGATTGATCACAAATATACACAAATTCCTCTCTGATTAGGATTATTTTGGTGTTTCAAAAAAATAAATTTATTTGACTGTCCACAGTTAATGTGCTCCTGTTAATGTTACATACATGCTTGTCAATGGCCAAGGTACTTATTTGTCGATGGCCAAGGAGTCCTGACAGCAGCCGTAGATATGCCAGACAAACAGTGGGCGTGGCTTTTCACGGTGATGTAATCCTGCTGGTCACTGAATACTAAACGGGTGCTTGGATGTCGCCAAGAATTTTCCGGGGGGGGGGAGGGTGCAGACCACTTTTTTTCCTGGGTTGAATATCCGGGTGGGGGCAAAGACCTTTCAGCTAAAAAAAACCTGTGACCAATTAACAGTGGGAAAGTGTCGTTTTCTTATAAGCAAACTGGTGATTGTTATCCCCTTTCGTCTCTGTTCATTTCTTTCTCTTGTTCTTTAGAAGGAAGGGGAGGCAACCTGCGACACCCATTAACCTGTGGGCACTGTCTTCAAAACAGTCTGTGAAAACCCGTGCCTAACTAAAACAACTGAAAGAAAATTCTATTTCAAGTAAATTTACTATTTTTCCACAACCCTTGCATATATTCAAGTTTAGAGGAAAACTGGTCATCGTTTGCAAAACGCACGTGAATATCTTGAGTTATAAAAATATGATGCACTAGTTGGACTGAGTTACAGTGTCTCCCTTGAGCAGAAGCATCCCCTAATTGGTTGAAAAGAACTAGGTTAGTCGGGAATGTTCGTTTTGCTGGTAGTGACGCGACCGTAAAGCGTGTATTTGATAGTCATTTGTGAACCAGCGAAGTGCAGTTCCGGCCAAAGGAAAATTGTGCCCTTTGTTGGTTAAGGTCCAGGCTCTGAACAGCACCGAAAATATGAAAACGGACACGCCAGCCCAAAGTACTTTTCTCAAACGGTGTTTTCGTTTCAGCAAAAGGCATTTTGCATTATTTTCTCAACCTGTAACGATGACGCGCAAAGATGCCTTGGCAATGTAGCGGCGAAGTCCTGTCATTTTTTTTTCAAACTGCCACTTTCAGGTTGACAATAAGTCACGCACAAACAAGAACAGATACCGACAGATTGAACAAAACAGTTTGCGATGTACACACTATCATGGATTTTTCATTAAAAAACGAACAAACAAAACAAACAAACAAAACATTCACCTTAACTTTTAACATGTGACATATTCATCTGTTACTATGGGTATTCTAAAGGCCTGTTCACACTTTCCTGTAACATAATGGCTGGAGGGGGACGGGTTGATAGATCAAAGTTTCACAAATTCAAAAACCCAGTCTGAAGGGTACGAACGAACCCGCCATACATGCATACTCCTCGTACATTCAACCACATTTACACTCTACTCTAATTCAGATATTGCCAATTACACTCGTTGAGCACGAACTCAACCATCGTGCCTCAGTGAAAGCCAGCTTGGTTTCCGTCATGAAAACAAAAATCCACCGCAAGAAGGCGGATACACAGAGAAAGAAAGGGACATAGTAGAAATATTCATCTGGTCTTGCAAATATATATTTGATGAGCCCCCACAAAGATTCAAGGGCCAACTATTGCTTTTATCTGTTGGGAAAACTGCCGGATCTTGTTTAACGTTGAAAACACTCAGTCACTACTTATCAGTTTTCTTATAACTCGGCAAATCCACATAGACAACATTGGATGTCACATTTGGGAAGTGTCGGCAAAATTTCACACAAGTTGGGTTTTGCAACTTGATGGTAATTTTTGTTCGAGCAATTCCACGCTTTCTATCCATAACACTTGCCTGGTCTATTCTCATCCAATATGTTCAACCATTTTTTAAATCTACAGAAGGTGATTGGAAACATTTTGTCTTCACTGGAAACATTTTCTCTTGAAATTTGAAAACCGTATTTTGAAGGTTGTAAGGACATTTCATATGGGTAAAGGAAAAGTGCCGGAAAATGGTGTGTTCATCTGAAAAAATGTGTTAGAAATGTGAACATTTTTAAAGTGGAAAAGGGCAACTTATTCCAGACGAAATGATTCCAATCGCATTCCCCCCCCATTGTTTTTTCCATTTTAAAACTTGTTCTACAAACTGGAGACTCGACTTGACCGAGTACAAGAGCATACAACACAACGGGATATGTACATCACGAACCTGATAGGAAATTTCAACTTCTCATGACAAGGAGGAAATTCAGCGAGATAAATCCCACTTTATCTGTACAACTGGAAGGAATGTGGGGAGAGATTTTTTTTCACAGAACAAATTTCATATCACCTTAAAAAACAGGTTCCAAGATAAAACAATTCTTGGAAAAGAGGGTCTAAATCACCCAATAACGTCTGTTTTTTCAGGTAGAATCAACACCCCGTGTCTAACAGTAAACGAGAGATCTCACAGCTCTCTACAACTACACATACCAATTAGAAGAAATTGTACAGTTTTCCTGGGACTGATTTTGTCAGATGACGTCACACGTGGTTGGGGCCTTTGCATCTTGACCACTAAACTGATATTGCATTGTGAGGATTGAAATTGGCCAACACCACGGGAACGTCTCAAACTTTGGAAGGGGAACTTATCGACATTTGGAAGTTCCTGCTCCTGAGGGAATGTGCCGTTTGGGAACAGTGCGAATTCCTTTGGAGAGTTTGCTGTATTCCTTAATGAAACAGGCAGACCCCAAAGTAATTACGGTAAAAGCAACGACCACTGTTCCCACATGGGAACAAACGTTGTTCCCATTGGAACGGCGGGCGTCCCAGATTGGAAACAGTGATGTTCTGGAAATGTGTTCCAGCAGCCCAACTTTTGAGACGCTCTTGTGCAATATTGAAACATATTGCATAATACGATCCCAGATCATTACAGCTGGGGAGGGGGCACTATTGCTCTTGGTCGGCCAGAGGCCGGTCTTCGTCGGAGGGGCTGGACGCCTCGTCCTCCTTCAGCGGCTCCATGGAGGCCGACTCGGGCATGATCCCCCGCGTGATGTCCAGCAGCTTCTCCCGCTGTAGCGGTGTGACCGACGTGGTACCCTCGGCCGCCGGAAGGCCCATGGGGTCCAGCTTGCGCAGCTGCAGCTTCTCTCCATCCACGTTGTCGTACTTCTCCTGGTCCTCGCCCGCCGGCAGGTTCACCACACACCGGAAGACATCAAACCTCTTGGGGACAGTCTCGCTTCGGAAGAGCCAGTCCAGGAGGTACGACACCAGCACGACCGTCAACAGCGAGACCAGCATGGCTAACGTCTTGAAAGGGAACAGCTGTCCGCTCTCGGCGCTGTAATAAGGATACTTGATGAACGGGGGTATACCTAGCACGCCGTCACCCCCTCCCAGGCGTAATATGAGAGCTATTATGTAGCCCAGAAAAGAGCCATACGTATTGCACTTGGAGAAATACACCACGCAGAAGAGCTGCGGGAACAACACGACATAAACAAAATCAGAACAGAGGAACCAAAGGTCGTAGACGGAGGTGATGATGAGACCTAGTATTGTTGCCACAATACCCACAGCGATGATACCGATGCGCATCACCCACAACAGCTCAATTTCACCAGCCTGTGGGAAAAAACACAAACAAGAAATACAGAATAAAACGCTGAAGCGCGCAGGAGAAATGACCCTGTCACTAAACTTCACCACCTCCACACATTAGCCTCTGTGTAAACAGACAGTAAACACTGATCCCTGCACGATTTAAGCCTGACACACTCCCCTCCCCCAAAAGCTGATCCCTGCCTCTGTTTGCGTGCACCCCGCCTTGGTACTGTTGGACCTGTCTTGGTGTACCTTCTGGCGGAAGACTAGCTTGTAGATGTTGCGGGTGAACATGGAGCTGGCGGACAGGATGGAAGAATCGGCCGACGACATGACGGCCGCCGACACGGCCCCGAGACCGATGAAGGAGACCACCTGCGGGGTGAGATACTGAATGACCAAAGGCAGCAAGAGGCTGGTCTGGTTGTAAGGGTCAGTCACCTCCAGGTTGAGAGTGGTGGCGTTCCAGCCTGAGGAAGAAGGGAAACTTACTTACTGGGCTTGACATTGCACGGCTACGTGTATCCATGGCCAACACGCCAAGATTTATCTTCATACTACTTGTGAGCAGATATAAGAGGGCATCGTGTTGGGTCCTTCACATACCAAGGACTACCAACCTCTGCCGTCACAGTGTACCCAATCTTGGCTGACAAATACTGGAGTATGCAGCACATCCAGTCAAATCTCAGTTATTCACACAAACGGTGGTCTTCAAACATATTTTTCCTTCTAGCATTCCAGTGGATAAATGCTGCATTTTTGTAACACTCGGTCCATCTGGAGAACACTTGCAAAACGAACTGATCAATAAAACTGAATACACCTCTATCATATGGACAAATACCGCCTCAAATATGTGTTTAGTGTCTAAAATTTGAACAAAACCCCCCAAAATGATTAAAATGCCCTGCTGAAGACACGGCCCCTGATGAGTAATCACATTCAGAAGTTTGTGAGTTGGATACTAAAAATGTACCACCCCTTTCTGAAAACGTTGATAAGAGAGCAAGGACTACTTTTTTTGTGGGGGGGGGGAAGAACAGAGGCTACGTCTGGCCTACTTGTGCTGGCTCCGATAGCACCAATGAGAATAGAAGGGATGGCCATCAGGATGCAGCCAATGGCCGCGACGAAGGACAAGGCCTGGGCCCGCTCGGCCGTCTTGGAGGAGAGCACCCGTTGGAAATACACCTGCCAGGGGATCCCTCCGAATATCTGTCGAGAGAGGATCGGGACAATCACTCGACGGGTGAAACTGGAGGGGGCAACGCAAAACGCAGTGTGAACGGTCAACAGCAGCTCCTGATTGTTTAATGACGGACTCTTCATCGACTTAAATCAAATCTCAGGGACGGTTTGGTTCAAAGCAATGCTGGTATGCCTGTCTGAACCTGGCACTGGTGATCATGCAGAACATTTCAATCAACATCTGCTGGATCAAAACTGCCCACTACTTCAATATTCTACAGCAATAACAACTTTTGTCAGTCAAGAAATTTGTCTTGACATTTAAGTCACCAAAATGGAATGTCATTGTGAAGTCCGTTCTGCAGTGGTATGAGATATACTTAATGTTTTCTAGAGCTATAGAGGGCAGCAGATAATAAATACAAGGGCCATGTAACAATTTCTTGACAAATACGCTCATACGGTCCAGCTATACTTGGACACTGTGCTTGCAGTAAACTTACAACACTCTCTGGACATCACTTGGACCGTGGTCTTTAACAGAACTGAGAGCTCATTGGGTCTGAGCCCAAGGACTTCACAACCTCTAAGACTTACAAGGAGCAGGGCCGAATCAACCCACACTCCAGCAAAGGACGGATCCCAGGTACCCAGCCACCTCGTAGAGGTCAATCCGATTGGCTCCACTGCTTCGTTGGTCAGAGCAAAAGGAATGCAGATCCACTGTTTGGGCAGAGAAACAACAAGCGGTACAACGTGAACACCAAAATAGTTTCAAAGGTTTTTGCTGTCGTGTTTTTTTTATTCTATTTTTTCATATATATTATTTGGGCACATTTTGTCTTTTGCTACTTCATGAAAACCTGGATATTGTTTCTAAAGCATAGTTTAAAGAGTCCCCCCATCCCTAAGGGACGATTGAAATCCTGGATAACCTTGTTGGGTTCAGCATGGTAACCCTAACCCTCTAGGGACCATTGAATCCTGCATAAACCTTGTTGGGTTCAGCATGGTAACCCTAACCCCCTAGGGACCATTGAAATCCTGCATAAACCTTGTTGGGTTCAGCATGGTAACCCCAACCCTCTAGGGACCATTGAATCCTGCATAAACCTTGTTGGGTTCAGCATGGTAACCCTAACCCCCTAGGGACCATTGAATCCTGCATGAACCTTGATGGGTTCAGCATGGTAACCCTAACCTCCTGGGGACCATTGAAATCCTGCATAACTTTGTTGGGTTCAGCATGGTCAGGCTTAATCTTTATTTAATAGTAGATTTACTCTATATTCTTTTTAATGGCAAACTTTTAACAGACAAAAAAATTAGTGAATTTGCCTTTCTTTTAACACATGACCTTTTCAAGATTTGACATATCCCCGTATGACATTAGAATGTGGTTAACTTGGATAATTTACATAATCCCCTTTTGTGAAAGAACACAGAATAATGTGATGCAATTTCCACAATAAAGGACAACCTCGCACAATGACCTTATCTTGTCCCATGTATGTGCACGGCTATTTCCAGCTGCACAACGGGCTCGCTGGCCCACCATGCCATGCAACTCTTCACACGGGCCACTCACCAGACCAATGAATATGCAAATGAGCTGGACCACATCAGTGTAGGCCACCGAGTACAGCCCGCCAAAGAAAGTGTAGAAGACAGCGATGCAGGCCGACACGATGACCGATATGCTCATTGGCAGTTCGAGCACCACGCTAATAGTGGCCCCTGAGGATGGGGGGGAAAAAAGGAGAGAGCCGAGAAATGGCAATGACTATGCAACTGGGACAACTGCTAGTTGAAAGTTCACTTGGCGTTTCCCCCCAAAATTCGGAGGTTTCATTGGAGAATTTCTGGCTCGTTTTAGCACCAATGTTTTGGGTGTCAAAAATAGAAAGTTACATACATAATAAACACGTCCTTCCAATTTCTCACATTCGTGACCCAACCTACCGGTAACCATGCGTCACCAGAGCAACGTTTGAGTGAAAGGGGTTTCAGAGGATCTTGCACTGTGTAAATCAATGTGAAATTGTGAATCCTCAACAATTTTCACAAACATATAGTCCCTTTTCATCATAATGCCCCAACGGGTGGCTCATCAAAACGAAGAACTCAATTTGTTCTTTCTCATGCACACTAAAACAGAATTACCTAAAATAGGGCCGTAAGACATTTCTGTGGTATTTGGTCACGTTTAATGTTGCCTCCATTTCTGAAAACATTATCAGCCAATGTCTTTTTTCGTCATTTCCAAGAAATATGCCTTTCAATGTGTAATTTTCAACTGTTTCTGTCACGGGAAAGAAGGTTGGAAAATTACACTTTTGCTGTGTTTTTCCCAAGTCGTTTCTCTCTTGAGGCGTAAGAGTTGCCCTCTTCCTGTCACGAGCGAGAAACTGTAGCTATTGAGTTTTTTACCTAGGGCGTTCAATATGGCAGCTGTCCAAAAGAGCTCTCCCGTCAGGGCGGGGATGAAGAGCAGTCCGCCCATGCGGGAGCCGTACTTGAGCTGAAAGGGATCCAGCATGGTGATGTAGCCCTGCGACCGCATGGCTTTGGCAAAGAGCAGGCCGCCTGCAGGTGAAACAAGACCAAACACAGATGACCAGCTGTGCGTCTGGCAATATGGTCACGTTGTGAGGTGGGGCACTTGCCCCAACATGGGACACGTTCCCCCATGCCAGAACTTACGATATCAAGTGATTCGATGCTGGGTTTGGTTTTTTTTTTTTTTAATATAGGTCAGGCTGCCGGGTTCAACGAGCTGAACTCACAGGTATGCTGTGTAAGCTCTCCAGGCAAGCCAAACATTTTTTAGGAAAATATATGTGAATGTACACAAAAGATTACATCCTGTATAGCGTCAAATCCACTGTGCAATATCCCTGTCAACTCCGGGGGGGGGGTTAGTTTTCATCTATAGTATGAGACAGACAGTAGCAGGTAAAATGTACGTCATGCCTCCTACGTACCTAGAATAAGGCTCGCAGCATATCCCCATGGGGCCTGTGTCCATAGCAACCCATAGTCTGGTCTGAAAACATACTCGGCTGTTCCATTGATGTAACCTCCTCCCACCCATGTAGCTGAAATGGACAAACGGGAGAGCAGAGGGTATAAGAAATCGGTCAAGAAACAGGTAAAATTCCACATTTCTGTGGCGCCTCAAATACAAGGTTCCAACTGCTGTAAGATGGCACACTGTTTACCAGCAGAGCAAGTCAAAATTCATCAATAAATTATTATTAAGGGTAATTCCAGAAATTAGGGGTCCATTTTGTTTTCTCTGTGTCCCTGTCACATCTGACATATGATCTTGAAAGTTCAGAACGCATTTTGTAATTTCCAAGGGTGATGAATTTATGCAGGTTACCAGCCAAACAAATATCCCTTGTAATAGTTCGAAATCAATTCCTGTGATATTTCCATGTCAAATAACAGAGGTCAGATGTAACACGGACACAAAAGGTCACACTTTTGGACCCATAATTTCTAGAGTTATCCTTATTCTGGTACTTTTTGCATCATTCAGTTCACTGGTTACAAGTTTTACAAGTGCATGTGGTAAAAGTTTTTACAGCTAAATATCAAGCAGCTGTACAAATTTGAACATTTCCACATTTGGAATTTAATTAAATTTAGTTGATAATTTTTTAAATTACAAGAAACGGCACATTCATGTACCAGTCCATCCAGATGTTACAGATTGCCTATTTAAATTCCTATTTTTTTAAATCGATTCAACTTAAAAAATGTGCCTATAATCAGTCCACACTCTGTGGGCCACATACTGCCCGTGCACTGAAAATTAAAAGACATGTACACTACATTTAATAGTGGTGTGCCTGTCAAAGTTCCAATGGAATTAGTTCCCGTTATACCCCCAAATTGAAAACCAGGAATTTGGGACTGTTGGGGCTATACATGTGAAGCTCGGCGTACCCGGTAAAGCCTTTAATTGGCATGCAAGCGATTCCTGTCAAAACTTAATTTGCAGTACAGCTGTGCTAAGCTCTGTGAAGCAGTACGTGAGAGGTAATGTTTGGGGAGCAAATTCACAGTTCTCATCGTCGTTTTATGGGCAACCACACAGCTGTGTATTGCATTAGAACTTTAGACAGATGTCTGGTATTAGTGAAGATTGTTCTGTATAAAATTAAATCTGACACCCCCCTTCCAAAAAAAGTGACTACGTACGTGTACGATGGATATCTCTATTCTTCCATTTTTATATTTAGTTGGGTGTGAGGTACCAGCTACGATGTACTTGTTACAACTCTGCAGTGCAGGGTGCTTCCCTGGTACCCTACCAATGGCAACAATGCACGTACTGGATAAGGCCAGTGTGATGAGGCTTAAGAGTTCACAAAACTGCACTAGTCCTTTCCCTTTTTCAACCAGAGCAGAAGAGGGCATTGCACTACCAGTGCCGTAGTTAAAACCTTTGACTTATGATACACCCAATTACATGACTGGATGCAGACAATTAAGGTTCATCTAGATGCGGCCGCCACAAAGGATTTAGTTACCTTGTGTGTGTGCAATATCCTTCTTTCACAGAAAACAGAGACCACAGGAAATCCACACCACTGCACTATGAATAATAGATGTTGTATGCATGATTTGTATGAAAATGATTCAAATTAACTTAAAATGTATGCCACCAATGCTGTTGGAAAACTAGAAGCACGAATCCTACTAGAAGACTTCATGCAATGGCGCCAACTACACGTGACATAATAATTAATGTTAAGGTGTTCTGCAGTTTTGAAAGATGCCACCAAAAGTTGGTTTATTCTAGTAATTGCCGCTAAGGCTATTATTTCACATTCACTACCGTAACATGTACACAGATCAGTTTTGGCAGGGGGAAATCCATTCCTCACTTGAACTGATCAGCTTCCTACTTGCTCGGCCCAAACATTCTCCATCTCTTTATGTTCTTTCAGCTTTCTTAGCATTTTGACACTGATCGGGCTGTTCCTAGGACTGGATTTCAAGAGCTACAGCCGCCACGTATGCCCATTGATGGCAGGCATCCATGTATCTGCAGCTGGCAAAGACATGCACGTAGACACGTAGCTGAAGACATGAGAAATTGGTGGGGGGGTGGCATCCATCTTGGTAATGATTTTTTGCTCAGTTTTCAATCTGCCACTTGGAAACTCCCTCCAAATATGCACAAAAGGACGTGCACTTGTACCGGTACCTTACAGGATATGTGAGCAGCGGGCTACACGTACAGTACGGTACATATACATGTACCATAGGAAAGGAGAAACGAACTATGACTTTCAGACCAAATTACATTGTCGAAGTTTATCAGAACTATTCCACTGGTTCAAATGGAAGTTTAACCTCGAGGTCAGTCACCCTGGTGTGCACGGTAAGGTTCCAATTAACCTAACGAAAAGGCTAGACGCTAAACACTGTCCAAAGTTTTTACAAGGGAATTGCAATTGTGACAGCGCTTGACAAAGTCAAACTGTGGATCTAATAAAAGTTTTATTGAGAAAAGCAAAGTGAGGACTTCCTGACAGTACAGGCACAATTCGCATACATACAAGTAATACACATACAAAAATGGTACTCTTGGGCACAGCTGGCTGATCTGCACCGTCACGATCACTTTGCAAAAACGTTCAATTCCGTTAAACCTCCCACTTCAGTTCCCCTTTTTTTTTCTTCCCAAAACAATCTCCCACAACCGTGAATTAGAAAGGAGAGGCAATCGGCTGACGGCAGAATTATTGCCAGACTGTGTCCATTTTGTTGCATATTCTTAGAGAACTCTTCAACTGCGGCAGACTGAGAAAGTGGTCAAGAAGTCAATACCCATGAAGGATTCCATACTGAGAAGAGATACCGGAACATGGTCCCCTGATACTTGTTTGGGCGGGTCACTAATAACTTGATGGCATCTACACAGATTGGAGTACAGTACATATACATGTACTCCCAGAGTCCTAGCACATGAACAGGTACATTGCAGCTTTACATTGATGGATTGTTTGAAAAGTACACCGCCCCTCCTTTTTTCTGTTCAACACAAGACATTTACAATCTGCGTGTGACGGAGGGGCCATAAATCCAAGGTTAACGACCACTGTAATTTACAACGCAAAGACGTTACAAAAGAAAAAGTGCTGGTCATCATTGATGGTTTGAATTGAATGCGACGGTTGCTACACACAACCCATCTGCTGTTATGACTATAATGGATTCTTTCAACAATAGGAGAACATGTGCAGCAAGCTTAAATTGTCCCTCTTATTGGCAAGTGTAGGGACTCCAACCAAATTAAAAAGCTCAGCAATAAGAGAGACATTCGTAAGTTCCCCCCCAAAAAAAGACTACATGTCCAAAATGCTGCATATTTCTTGCCAACTCTGGCAAGATAAAACTGTCTGCAACTGTTACCCTTGTTATCAGGGTCTCCTTCAATGTTCAGCAAAAAGATTTCATTTCCATGACCGAAGTTCCAAATGCAAAAAACTTCAGAAGATAAACAAAACCAGTTGCTTAAGTTGCCAAGTCAATAAGTAAGGAGATGCACCTCATGAACACATATCCCGAAGTCGACAAGCAGGGACTCTGAGGGATGGATATTAATGTGTCTTCTTCGAAGCCTTTCTAATGCCACAAATCCGCTGAGACCTTGTTTTAACAAGTGTACAAGTAGGCATGAAGGGAAAACAGGCGTCGGGGGAACCGGGTGTGATTTGCCAAAGTGACTGTCGAGAATTAGCATAACATCTTCACCTCCTAATGCACGCGTCCCACAGCAATACGATCAGCTTACGAAGAGATAGCACCAGCGCGGCCCGCGCGCGACACTGGTCGCTTTTAAGACCGACACAATCAGTTGTGCCGTCTCTCTGTGGCTCACTGGCATATATTACTATAAGCTGGGGTCTCAGTGGAGAACAGCACGCAAGTTATGAGGGTAAATAATCGATGCTCCAGATACTGACACGCCTTGTTAAAGAGATAAGTTCATCGTCCTGTGCACATGTGAGCGATGTTTGTTGGAGGGGGTAGAAGACAGGGTACTAAATTTTTAAAAGTTTTCTTTCAGTGATATGTTAGTACCTGAGCTTTTCAAAAATGTTCAATTTGTTTTTGGAAGGGTAGAAATTCATGAATATGTTCAGCTTCACTGTACTGTAGATACTATGTTCACTGAATTCAAAAAGAACAATATAAAAATGTACATTACACACAGGTACATACCAGTACATTGTACAATTGAAACTAATTCCAATTTCAATATGCTCTTCTGTTTGTGTACTGTGAGTGATTGATGGTATTAAAAGAAATGTACGATTTCAATCATAGTTATAGGCATAGTTGCAATCATGAAAAATGGAGTCGTAAGAGAAGTCTTTTATTCAAACTGTCTCTTCAGTGGCATGAGTAGTTATGAATGTCATGAGCCAACTGCAAGATTGTGCACCCGCGAAGTTTGAGTTTGCTCAAAAAATCAATTGAAAAAACAAAAAAAACCAACAACATGCAGTTTAACGTCACAGAGAAAGGAAACAATGACGCACATTGTGATGGCCAAATCAAGGCGTGTGAGAGTAGACACTAGAGACGCACTTCTCTTATTGGCTATCAATGGCCAGCGGTGCAAATAGTCAAGAGTACCACTCCAACCACCCATCTGTCTAAATATATTCCCCTTGCTGCTCCACCGCTGTTTCATGAAAAGATTTCTTGGGGTAACGCTAGACGTTTGGTTGTTGTGTATGCCCAAAAGGCATGCAAAATGCATGTTCCGGTATATACCGTAAAGTGTAGTATCCGGCAAGCAGACGCTACATCTTTGCTGCACGTGAAGCCAAAACTAAGGGTGAGATTCTGGCGCTTGTGTCCTTGAGCAGGATGTATTACATTCCGATTCCTATGCAACCAGATCATGCTGATGGGGGGCAACACTTATGACGGTGCTATTAATGCACGCGATCCCCGTTGCAAATGGCGAGAAATTTCTGCCACTGTACCTGGGTGCGGGTGTCAGGTTCATCAAGACGGTCCGGGTTTTGAGAATAGGCAATTAGCCATCGGAGGCATATATACATGT